ATGAAACAGTTGTCGGTTGACAACTTTTTCCAAGGGTTGTCAGGGATAGGTCCAGAGATAGAGGGCTGGAAATAATACTCAAGAATCTTGCATCAGTTCAATATTTCACATGAGCCTCACTAAACCTTAGAAGTATGAAATCTTACAGTTGGGACCATGCACAGTGGCTCACACCTGTAATCTCAGCACTTTGGGAAGCCAAGGTGGGTGGATCGCTTGAGCCCAGGAGTTCGAGACCAGCCTGGGCAACATGGCAAAACCCCATCTCAAAAAAAAAACCCCACCAAAAAAACCTTACAGTTGGAAGGATTCTTCAAAATTATATAGTTCAGCCAACCAGTTAAGCTAAATTCTAGAAATTGTAACATATTAGTAAAGGGATCACCAAATCTCTGCTTGAATGCCCTAAACAATAGGAAATTCATTCTTTTCCAAAGCTGCTTACTTCATCTTCAGATAGCTTTGTCTAATAGAAAATTCTTTCACGCCTGTAATCCCAGTACTTTAGGAGGCTGAGGCAGGCAGAACACGAGGTCAAGAGATCGAGACCATACTGGCCAACGTGGTGAAAACCCGTCTCTAATAAAAATAAAAAAATTAGCTGGGCATGGTGACATGCACCTGTAGTCCCAGCTACTCAGGAGGCTAAGGCAGGAGCATCGCTTGAACCGGGGAGAGGGGGCGGAGGTTGCAGTAAGCTGAGATCATGCCACTGCACTCTAGCCTGGCAACAGCGAGACTGTCTCAAAAAAAAGAAAATTCTACCAGGCACAGTGGCTCACACCTGTAATCCCAGCACCTTGGGAGGCCCAGGCAGGATGATTGCTTGAGGACAGGAGTTCAAGACCAGCCTGGGTAACACAATGAGATCCTGTCTCTACAAAAAATAAAATTAGCCAAGCCTGGTGGCTTACATCTATAGTCCCAGCTACTCAGGAGGCTAAGGTAGGAGGATCACTTGAGTCAAGGAGGGCAAGGCTGCAGTATGCTGTGATCACCACACTGCATTCCAGCCTGGGTGACAGAGACCCCATCTCAAAAAGAAAATTTTTTTTTCATTGTTAAAATCTTTCCCTTAATTTCCATTCACTGGTGCTGATTCCATGCTGTAAGACCCCCTAAAACAATACTCTCACCTCTACTCCCCCTACAAGTCTTTTCTGTACCAGATTACCCACGTTTCTTGGTACTTGGAGCAGGGTTTACACTGTCTTTGTGACAACAATCTTCTCAGAATGTAGTGGTACGTCAGTTGGGATCCACTGAAAAGTCAAGAGTGAGTGGTCTGACCACTGCAAAATGGAGCAGCGAATGTGATTTGCACTTCCACAGAGACTGCATGAAGTCTCCAGTGTTGGCCGTCTCTCTGGACTTCATTGCTGTCAGTATGGTGAGAGTCAGAAAGACACTCTCCAATTATTCAATCGTTTCTGAGATCTAAGGCCTTGACAATCCTTAGAAACCTCTTAGAAAAAAACATTCCCTCTGGCTGGGTGCGGTGGCTCTCCCCTGTAATCCCAGCACTTTGGGAGGCTGGGGTAAGCGGATCATGAGGTCAGGAGTCCAAGACCAGCCTGTCCAACACAGTGAAACCCCATCTCTACTAAAAATACAAAAAATTAGCCAGGCATGGTGGCACACACCTGTAATCCCAGCTACTCTGGAGGCTAAGGCAAGAGAATTGCTTGAACTTGGGAGGCAGAGGTTGCAGTGAGCTGAGATTGCGCCATTGCACTCCAGCCCAGGCGACAGTACAAGACTCCATCTCGGCCGGGCGCGGTGGCTCAAGCCTGTAATCCCAGCACTTTGGGAGGCCGAGGCGGGTGGATCACGAGGTCAAGAGATCGAGACCATCCTGGTCAACATGGTGAAACCCCGTCTCTACTGAAAATACAAAAAATTAGCCGGGCATGGTGGCGCGTGCCTGTAATGCCAGCTACTCAGGAGGCTGAGGCAGGAGAATTGCCTGAACCCAGGAGGCAGAGGTTGCGGTGAGCCGAGATCACGCCATTGCACTCCAGCCTGGGTAACATGAGTGAAACTCCGTCTCAAAAAAAAAAAAAAGACTCCATCTCAAAAAACAAAGAAAAAACATTCCTTCAACCATAAATCAGCACCATCATCTACTCGATAGGCTGAAACCAGTCTTGACTGCTCCATGTTCCCCAAACCCAAGAAGACTGACCATTCCACTACTTGGTCTGAAAAGGCTTGCGAGAAAAAAGTCTAGGTCTTACCGTGAGTGGGAATGGACCAAAATGTAGAATGAATTGCTAAATGTCTACCAGACTCCTTCCATCTTTCTCTAAACCTCTCATTCAGAACCTCCCTTTTACTCCCAAGTCATTTGGTAACCATTCTGCTTCCCTTCCATCTCCACATCTGACTTCTCCCTGCCATCTATAAAGAAGGCCTGAAATGTAGGGAAGAACCAGTAGTACAGCCACAGGAATTTCTGACACTGTCAGTCACATTTGGAACCATTTGTTCACGTCCAAGCTGGTCAAAGAGAAGACCTGGGCAGCAATGATTAAATTAAATGAATTCTTATTGCAAAGTAGCCAACACATTTATGTAAACTCTTTCTTGATAATGACAAAGACTTAGGGTTGCATAGATACCATGCAGCAGACACTGTTTTCTTGCAACAGACACTGCTTACTTGCAGCACACGCTATTTCTGAATTTTGTGTTGAAATCTGGCGAGATCCACATACCTGAAAACTCAATACTAGTGTAGGTTAAAAAAAAACAACTCACTACAGCAAGTAAATTGGCATTCTATGTATTTGAGAAACTAATGTACAAAAATGCAAGTTAATTACAACTTACTTGGAAGGGGACCAATAATTTCACTTTTTAATTGAAAATAGTCTACATACTCCCAATAAATTCACAGTAAAATAAGCTTCAAAAAGACTTTAGATGCCAAAAAAAGGAAAAAAAGCCAGTAAATAAAACAAAATACATGATGTAGTTAATAGCATAGATATGCTTGCCTTTAGACAATGCTTATATACTCAATTCTTATATGATTGAAAGATTCTGTAGTAATGCCGTACCTTTTCACAAAAAAAAAAAAATGCTTCCAAAAGAAAATCAAACATTTATGACTGGAGTTAGTTGTAGTAAGGAATTAGATGTGAGTGGTTGACTACTCTTTGTGCCTTCAAAGTTTTGCAGAAAATTCTGTCTTCTTTTTAGTCCATCCAAAATGACTGAATTATTAGATGCCAGACTCTGTGTCCTAAAGGTATTAAAAATAACAGAATTATTGGCTACAAAGGGAACTTGGATTTCTAACCAAGGCATTATACTTTCATTTGTTACTTTGAAGTGGTATGTTTACTAATACTAAGGTACGCTTATCAAATAAGTTAACCTTTAAAAATATGAAGTGCTCTTTACATTTTAACGGCTTCACAATAGCACCTCAATTATTTCACAGCTCTTTGAAAGCAGCTGTCAAATAACTGAGGTGCTACTGTGCTGTTTATGTTTTCTGAACAACATCTGTTCTCAGATCCAATATCAAATATATTCTCGTCAGAAACAGTAAGTTTCCTGAAAAACTTCTGTACATCTGAAGTGGCCAATATCTTCCTGTGAAATTTATTACTTTCATGAGAAACCATATGGAAGAGAAAAGCAAACTATTGTATTTTTCATATTACAATGTCCTTTTCCAGGAGGTATAAGCTATATTAATCCCTTATCTAACACAGATGGCTTGCTTCAGCCAACTCACAATACTGTTTGGTAGCCTGGGCACGGTGGCTCACCCCTGTAATCCCAGCACTTTGGGAGGCCAAGGCGGGTGGCTATCAACTTGAGGCCAGGAATTTGAGGCCAGTCCAGTCAACATGGTGAAACCCTGTCTCCCCATGGGTTTCAATACAAAAATTAGCCAAGCATGGTGGTGCACACCTATAATCTCAGCTACTTATGTGACTGAGGCATGAGAATCCTTTGAACTCATGAGGCAGAGGTTGCAGGGAGCCAAGATGACACAACTACACTCCAGCCTGGGCAACAGAGTGAGACTGTCTCAAAAACAACAACAACAAAACAAAAACCTAAAAACTATTTGGTTATTTTTGCTTTTCACCTTCCCACTTTCTTTCCATCAACTGTCCATTACATTAAAATATATCTCAAAAATATGTCCTCCAATAAGTCTTCCTCTAAACAGCCTATCACTCAGTTTACTCAGTTCTATAACTGTGACTGTCATGACTTCATGCTTTGTTCTTAAGTTCAACTGGTCTATGTTTATTGTTTGTCTCCTCAACTAAATTGAATGCTTCCTGTAAGTAGAAACAATGTCTAGTTCATCTCTATCCTCCTAATCCTTATAACCATTATGGAACACAGTTGATGTTCAAATTTCACTTCCCTTTCCTATAAATGTTTGTCAATTTTAGTTATAAGCCTTTTAAGAAAAGCATGTTGCTTAAAAATAGGTAATTCTTAAGAAATTAAATTTCTCAAAATTTTTCAAATCAAAATTCCCAGTCAACTATTAAGGAGTAATGTCTCTCATCTGCTTTTGTTTTGTATTATTTTGTTTTTGCAACAGAGAAAGAAAAAGAACCCATGGCTTGTTGGTTTACATCACCATTGTTCATGTTTGAAGACATGTTTTGATTCTCTTAAAAGACTTAATAGCCAGTGCAGTGGCTCATGCCTGTAATCCCAGCACTTTGGGAGGCCAGGGGGGTGATCACTTGAAGTCAGGGGTTCAAGACTAGCCTGGCCAACATGGTGAAACCCCATCTCTACTAAAAATACAAAAATTAGCTGGGCATGGTGGCAGAAGCCTATAATCTCAGCTGCTAGGGAGGCTGAGGCAGGGGAATCACCTGAACCCGGGAGGTAGAGGTTGCAGTAAGCCAAGATCATGCCACTGCACACTAGCCTGGAAGACAGAGTGAGACTCCATCACACACAAAAAAAGACTTAATAATAATCTTTAAGTTTAATTGAAACTTAATAGTTTAATTGAAACAATCAAACTATTGTTTCAAAAAGAAAAGATCTTGTTCCCCCAATAAAGAAGTAATGATATGTTTTTAAAATGTAGATTTTTAGGAATACATCCTAAGAAAATAGAAATACCCACAAACATTTTTATGCAAAAATAACTCACTGCAGGTTGATTTATTAATAGTAAAAAATTGGGAATGATCTAAATGTCAAGGAAAGGAAAATAGGCTGGGCACAGTGGCTCATGCCTATAACCCTAGCACTTTGAGAGGCCAAGACGGGAGAACTGCTTGAGCCCAGGAGTTTAAGACCAGCCTGGAAAACATAGTGAGACCTCATTCTTACAAAATAAGAAGCAGCAGCAACAGCTGGGTGTGATGGTGCATGCCTGTGGTCTCAGCTACTCAGGGGGCTGGTTTGAGAAGATTGCTTAAGACCAGAAGGTGAAGGCTGTAGGGAGCCCTGATTGAATCACTGTACTCTATCCTGGGCAACAGTATGAGACCCTGACTCTAAAAAAAGAGAGAAAACAAAGGAAAATAATAGTTATATATATAAATAGGGGTCCACATAATGGAATGCTAAACAACCATTAAAAACCTGTGGCTCACACCTGTAATCCCTGCACATTGAGAGGCCAAGGTAGGCAGATCACTGGAGGCCAGGAGTTTGAGACCAGCCTGGCTAACATGGTGAAACCCCATCTTTACTAAAAAAAAAAAAAAAAAAAGAAAAAAGAAAAAATAATGTCTAAAAAAAAAAAAAAATAAAAAAATAAAGCTTGAGCTACGTTTATCGATCACAGGATATACATATATAAGTTACATGAAAAAAGAAAGTCATGGCTGTGTATGATTTGTTGTTAAAAAATACTTTAAGCCCTGGTGCAGTGGTTCATGACTGTAATCCCAAAACTGGGAGGCCAAGGCAAGAGGATTGCTTGAGTCCAGGAGTTCGAGGACAGCCTCAAAAACACAGCAATATATTGTCTCTAAAAAAAACTTTTTAAATTAGCCTGATGCCTGGTGCAGTGGGTCATGCCTTAAATCCCAGCACTTTGAGAGAATCCCTTGAGTCTAGGAGTTCAAGACTACCCTGGGTAACATTGTAAAACCTCATCTCTACCAAAAAATTAGCTGGGCATAGTAGCAGGTGCTTGCAGTTCAAGCTGCTCCAGAGGCTGAGGTGGGGGAATGGCTTGAGCCCAGGAGGTCTAGGCTGCAGTGAGCTATGATTGTGTCATTGCACTCCAGCCTAGGTGACAGAGTGCAACACTGTCTCAAAGAAAAAAAACAACAGCTTACAAATGCATAGAAAAAAGTATAGGGCCAGCCAGGCTCAGCAGCTCACACCTATAATCCCAGCCTTTGGGGTGGCCGAAGAGGATGGATCACTTAAGCCCAGGAGTTTAAACCCCATCTCTTAAAAAAAAAAAATAGCTGAGCATGGTGGCATATGCCTGTAGTCCCAGGTACTCGGGAGACTGAGGTAGAAGGATCACTTGAGCCCAGGGAGGTTGAAGCTGCAGTGAGGGGTGATTGTATCACTGCACTTCAGCCTGGGCAACAGAGTGAATCACTGTCTCAAAGCAAAAACAAAACAAAACAAAAAACTAGCAAAAATATGCACCAAATTTTTAGAATGATCTTTGAGAAACTATTTAATAACATAAAGAAAATGTTCACGATAGACTATTAATTTTAAAAAGCAACATGCAAAATAGTAACTCAGTATGGGCCCAGTAAACAAAATCTATAGATCTAAACATTCAGACTGAAGTGTTATAGAGAAATACACCAAATATAAAATGATTCTTAAAAAATATCTAGATGTGGCCGGACGCGGTGGCTCACGCCTGTAATCTCAGCACTTTGGGAGGCTGAGGCGGGTGGATCACGAG